GAGGTATAAACTCCACTCGCCATGTTTGGAGGAAGAAGAAGGATGAGTACAATCTCAAGAACACCATCCCAACTGTGAAGCATGGGGTAGAAGCATCATGCTTTGGGGGTGCTTTTCTGCAAAGGGGACAGGACGACTGCACCGTATTGAGGAGAGGATGGATGGGGCCATGTATCGCCAGATTTTGGGCAACAACCTCCTTCCCTCAGTAAGAGCATTGAAGATGGGTCGTGGCTGGGTCTTCCAGTATGACAATGACCCCAAACACACAGCCAGGGCAACTAAGGAGTGGCTCCATAAGAAGCATTTCAAGGTCCTGGAGTGGCCTAGCCAGTCTCCAGACCTGAACCCAATAGAAAACCAATGGAGGGAGCTGAAACTCCGTGTTGCCCAGCGACAGCCCCAAAACCTGAAAGATCTGGAGAAGACCTGTATGGAGGAGTGGGCCAAAATCCCTGCTGCAGTGTGTGCAAACCTGGTCAAGAACTACAGGAAACGTCTGACCTCTGTAACTGTAAACAAAGGTTTCGGTGAAGTGAAAGAGACTGTACATAGTGAAGACAGAGATTTGGATAAATGAATAGAAATAGACATTAGCATCCATTACATTACTTTTGTTTTTTCTACACTGAGTTTCAGTGTTGCTGGTAAAACACTGGCACTGTCAAATTGGCACTGTGTTCTCAATGCATCTGTGCCCATTTTGTGGTGTGGGTATCACATGGACACCACTATCTTAATATAAATGAATTTCAAACAAAAAACAAAACTAAAATTGTTGCAAAAATATCCATGTATAGTATTTCATCTGTACTCACTGAAATGCCTTTTACACTAAGTTACTGTGTGCAATGGAATGATATGGGACACAAGCCAACTTGAGTAAATAAGCAGTAAAGCATAGACGCATTTCTGGATTGTTTGTATGCACTCCTCTGTTGGTGCTTCTTGTTTGCTGAGGCAACCTAAACATACAAAGGAAGACATTGCAAGAGCAAAGTCATGCAGCCATATCAAACAGGGAAACATGCATACTGGTCACAAAAAAGATTTAGGGATGGCATGACAATAAATGTCTAACTTATCTACATAAATGTAAACATTAAAGCACAGTTTTCATGTAATTATTGACACTATGGCAACAAGATGTTGATCAAACATGATGTCCAACCTCTGCTGAGTTTGAATGCACTCACTGCAAGTCACTTTGAAGAAATGCATCTCCAAAATGAACATAATCAAATTAATTCTGTCTTCTAGACCACACATCATCTTGATCATCTGGATCTTCATTTCAATACATCTTTTTAACTATGGAAATATTGTGTTTTAGCCAAAACTGAATGTTACGTTGTTTTTAATTAGATGACAACATCCCAGTCTCATACCCAGTATCCACCTCTCTTACCCAGGGTTCTTCCCCAGCATCCTGAGGCCATCCAAAGCCTGCCAGACCTTTCTCACCACATTTCTGAAGCCTGCACTGAAGTGGGCAGGGCATACACCGTTCCTCTGCCGCCCTCCGTAGATCTTCATCATGGAGCTGATACCCACCCCTCCGCGCAGGTACAGATGACGTGTTGTGGATGCTTTTGAGACATACAAACAGTATAAAATATATTTTGC